AAAATGCAAAGATATACAATTCAGCACAAAAGTTAGAATCAAACAAGACATTGTATTCCTTATTATCATAAGCTGGACAGTTAAGAAAGATGATAGGAAGAAAATCAATGCATCTGAGAGAATGTGATGCTGGAGAAGAGTGCTGAGGATCCCATGGATAACCAAAAGGACCAACAAAAGAGTCCTAGAGCAGATCAAGCCAGAAACCTCCCTGGAAGCCAAGATGACAAAACTGAGGCTGTCGTATTTCGAACACATCATGAGAAGGCATTACTCACTAGAAAAAACAATAATGCTGGGAAAGTTGGAAGGAAGCAGAAAGAGAGGAATAGTCCATCCATGCCAGATGGATGGACTCTATTATTAAGGAGGTCACGGGTATTTATTAAGGGGTTGCAAGGATTAAGCAGAAGAGTGGAGGACGGAGGGTCCTTGGAGATGTCTCATCCACAGGGCTGCCATGAGTCAAGATCGTCTCAAGGGCAGTTAACAATAAAATCAATCAATCAATCAATCAATTTTCCCTTAGCCTTGTGGCTTCCATGAGATTATTAATTTAAGAGAGGGAGGTATAACTTTTCTTGGTTGGGAAGCAAAGACGTGAGTGGGTCATATGTTGTCTACCACTAGTTTACAAACTCCAATGGCTTTCTGTAACGTAGGATTTGCTCAGTTATACTTGAAAAGGAGTGGATGTCTTGTGGAATTAAGTAGTCATAGAATCATACAGAAAGACTTATAAGAACCATCTAATCGCACTCTTGGCCATGCAGGAATACACAGCTAAAGGACTCCTGAGAAATGGAGCAGAGCAATGAAGCAGAGGGCACCACTCTCCAAGGCAGTCTATTCCACTGTTGAACAGCTCTTGTACCCAAGAAGTTATTCCTAACGTTTAAGTGAAATCTCTTTTCTTTTAATTTGGAATCTACTCCTTCATGTTTTGTGAGACATTTAACCTTCTCAAAAAACTACAAATCCCAAGATTCCATAGCATGGGGCCAGGGCAGATCAAGTGGAGTCAAACTGGATTATTTCTGCAGTGTGGATGCAGCCAAAGAAGGCTAAATGTTTCACCAAATTACAAATCCCAGAATTCCATAGCAGGGAGCCATGGCAGTTAAAACAGATTAGACCTGTATCTATTTAACCAGTGATCCCCAAACCTTGGTCCTCCAGATACTATGAACTTCAGTTCCCAGAATTCCTGACTGTTGACCAATATGATTGTGCCTTCTGGGAGTTGAAGTCCAAGACACCTGGAGGACCAAAGTTTATGAATCAGTGGACCTATCATCACCATTATATTATATTCTGTGCTCCATTTACTCAACTGCAAAAGACACACATCTGGAATCACGTAAATATTCTTTGTTACTTATGGTGACCCTATCATGGGGTTTCCTTGGCTAGATTTATTTAGAAGGGTTTGTCATGGCCATCCCTTGCGGCTGAGAGAGTGTGACTTGCTCAGGGTCACCCTGGTGAAACTATCATGGTGTTTTCTTAGCCAGATCTGCTCAGAGGCGGTTTGTCTTGACCATCCCTTGAGGCTGAGAGAGTGTGACTTGCTCAGAGTCATCTGGGTTTTTTTT